GGCGACCTTCCTCCGGCGGCGCTCGGGGTTCGGAGTCTCCCCGCCGCCCATCGCGGCGCCGCGATTCACGCCATCGCCGTCGGCTCCCGGGGCGGCGTCTCGCCGCCACCCGCCCGCGCGGCACCCACCGACGGCGCGGCGCTCCGGGCCGCGGCTGTCGCGGGGACGGCCGGCAAAGCGCCCGCGGCCCCCGGCGCGCAGCCCCTCCCGCTCTTCTCACCCCCCCCCACCTGCAACCCCGGCGGCGGTGACAGAAGAGCGGAGGCGCAGCGCAGCCGAGACGCTTTATTCCCGCCCGCACTCACCAGCCGTCGCACCAGACGCGCACGGGCCGCTGTGCCGCCGCGCCGCCCCCCGCCGCCCCGTTGCGCAGCATGGCCGCGCTGTCACCGGCGGCACCGCCGCCGAGCGGGACCTCCCGCTCGCCCCGCCCCTCGCCCGCCCCCGCCGCCATCTTGGGGCGCGTCAGCACCGGCGGTCGGGGCGAGCCGACGCCCCGCGCTCCGTTTCGCCCCGCCCCGCCCCCGCCGTCAGTTGCTCTTCCTGCGCCGGGTGCCCTTGGCGCAGCCGCGGCCCAACCAGCCGCCGGGCCGGGCGGGATGTTCGTCCCGCGGTGCCGCGGCCGGCTCGACGCCCTGCGGCGGGGCCACCGGCTTCCGGGAGTGCGTGCCCTCCTCGTCGGGGCGCAGCGGCTCGGCCAGCGCGAAGATGGGGTCCCGCGCCCTGCGGAGAGGAGGAGGTGAGGGCGGGGGGCTCGCGGTGGCCATCCCGTCCCCCCCCCGGTCCCCACCAGCTCACCGGTCGTAGCCGGGGATCTGCAGGCCCAGCTCCTCCATCAGCAGCCGCATGACGTCGTCGCAGCGGCCGTGCAGCTTTAGGGCAGCCAGGTCGTCCTTGGGCGTCCACTGCGAGGTGACAGCAGGACACGTGCTGCAGCACCCGCTGCGAGGGGCTTCACCCAACCTCCCTGCCCGGCACCGGGAAGGCGCTCACCTGGAGGTTCACGATGTACAGCTTTGGACGACGAGGTGGAGGTTTGCTCATGCACCAAAGCCGGGGGTATTTTTTCAAAACCTGCCACAAAACAGAAATGATCAGCACAGCCAAAGGCACACGTAACCGTGAACCATATCAGCGAGAGGAAAAGGAATGTATTACCAGGAAGGGAAAGAGGGAGGAAGAGAGACTATCACACAGATGGTGGGCGAATCCTGACACCAGAGTTTACAGTTGTCTGTTTGGGAGGAGACTGCTCAGCACCAAGGTGTATCACCAAGAGGGAATGCTGCTAACAATCTTCACCGAGTCTCTAAAGTTACCTTTAAGCTGGAACCCAGACAAAGAATCACATCTGCTTTGCTTGCAGCTTCTGTTGCTGCTTCCCAGTTCAGGGGCTGTGTCAGTGTCCCCTTCTCCCCAAAGTGGACGATTGTATCTCTCAACTGTGCCCCGCACTTGTGGCACAGCCTGCCAGTGTGATGCTTGTGCAGGGCCGTGCGTTCTGTCACATCAAAGACTCGCACGTACTCTCTGTTGGGGGTACACGAAGTGCAGACCTGTAGCACAGGAAGGAAAAGTGTTGTATTGTCAGCATCTGGTCCATCTGAGCCCAGGGATGCAGCCACACCTCAGAGAAAAGCACCTTTTGGGGACAACAAACCTGGAAGCAGTAGAAGGAATCATCTGTGTTTAGATGCTAACTTGGAAACATTCAGAAACGCTCAGCTAGTGAGTGGAATTACAGGGGGCAGGCAGCCTGGTCAATAGGAGGGATTTTCAGGCAACGCCTGAAGAACTGCACTCAGAAGCAGAAGGCTCTAGCAAATACAGAGAGAGAACTGCCAGGTTGTACAGAAAACTCGATTGTGGAGTTTGCTAACTAGTTTACCAAAAAACTGGCAAACTAAAGATACAAACTAAGCTGAGAGTAGCCCTTGCACTAATTTTTGAGTCAGGGAGGGAGAAACAGTTACCACTGTCTTTTTTAAGAGGCCAGTACTGACAGTGCCTTTGTCCTTTCCTAGCTGCTCACCTCTATGTACATGTTTCCATGAAGCTCAGATATTGCTGATCTAGGTAACCCACTTCGCAGGTGCAGCCCATCACAGTTTTGAGATACCACGTGCTGCACCTGAAGAGAGCAGAACATTGAAATAACACACACAGAGAAGATTCTGAAAGCGTGGTTCCAATGCAGGTAACATCTCAACGTGCAATAAATAGTTCTGCTTCAATATACTGAGCTAGCAGTAGAAAAGCAGAGAGAGTAGAACTCTGAAAACTAAGCAGAGAGATTCCTGCTAAATACAGCTGTTAGGCCTGGCAGGCTTTGTGGCCACGTCCCCAGACCACAGCCTCAGCAGGAGGCAAACATAAGCTATTAAAAAAAGGCATGAGGGAAAAAGATGCTGGAGCCATAGTCTGGACACGGCCTGATGAAGGCTCAGCTATACAGAACCACAGACACCTCACTGAGAACAACAGTTATGCAGTACTGTGAAAAATATCTTTTTTCTTCTTTATCTGATTTATTATACTGTGACAGTGGAGCACAAGTCATGTACAGAAAAAGAAATCTTACCAGATTATGCTTGTGTAGGCAAGCAATGCTCATATGGGTGAGCGTGGGCTCTGCCTCACTCAGATCTGTAGCACTGACAAGAGGCAGAGAAAAATAGAGTAAGAAATTACCATTAACACTCTCCTTCAGTATCAGCTGTCTGCTGGGCAGCTCAGAATTCATCTCCTGAGTAGCTGCAAAAATGTCCTTCCAGGAAAGAGAAAGGAAATGTTCACTGGTCACCTTACCTGATGCTCCTGCCCTTCTGCAGCAATGTCCAAATGCCATTGGGGCCTCGGTAGTCTGGGATCGAAGCTGCCTGTGTTATGGAGAGAGACAAAGCACGGCCTGACCCGAAAGTTCCTACCTCTTGTCCACCAACACATCAACCTGGCCTCACCCAGGACAGCGAGGTACAGCATTCACTGCTGCTTTTTCATTCACTCAAAGTTTTCCTAATTACAGGGAGCTCTTTTCCTACCTTGCAGTTCTCAATTTCACCTCCAGTATTTATTTTCTCCAATAATACCACTATGAAATCCCTACAGAACACTCTTCTCCCCCAGGAACCTCCCACTCCCCCAGACAGAACACAGTTCTTGAACCTTTTATTATTTACACTCAACTCGTTTAAAGAACACTCAGCGTTCTTTAAAAAAAGTGTCTATGTCCCTATCAGCTGAGATTGCAGAAAAGGGGAAGAACAATGAGGTTCCCATTTCAGAGTTCAGACAAAAGTGACAAATGTGACCTGCGAAGAGGCAGCTCCAGATTTCCATTCTCGTAAGAGGCCACAGAAACCATTTTTTAAATCATTTTTCACTTCTAGTAAGCACTCGTTATTTCTGAATCATTTATTAATGCAGAGAGCATTGAGCAGCTATAATTTCTTTTAGGTTTTGCAGCAAAAGTAGCTGAAGAGACTCGACTGAAGACAGACTACTGATCTTATTTTAAAAGCTCGCTCTTTGCATAGAGGTGATGCAGCCTCAGAATCTCTTGGCCAGCAGGAACATCCCAAGATGCAAATTAATTAACATCTTGGTCATGGTTTGTAGTTCAACAGTGTTAATACAGAATCCCAAATATCTTCTGGGCAGCCTGGTCTGGTGGTTGGCAACCCTGCACGTAGCAGGGGGTTGAAACTTGATGATCATTGCGGTCCTTTTAAACCCAGGCCATTCTATGATTCTATGATATCCTGTGGTCACTTGGAATCCACAAAAAACAGAGTTCAAACATTCCAACACTCCTGAAGGAGCTCCCAAAGCTCCAGCCACTCACCCCCAAAGAATCCTACCGTACTGATCCCTGCTCCTGTGTAGATGACAAGGTGCTTGGCGTTCCGGATAGCAGCAGCCAGCTCAGTGACCTTTCTCTTTAGCTCCTCTGGCTCATCACATACCTAGGAAATGCAAATGGGCAGTTTCAGCGTGTCGCTAAGCCTGAAAGAACAGAGAGCTCCTTGGACATTTTGATATGGGTCCATCCTAGCCAGGGAACGCAGCAGACAAATATTATCAGAAGGAATATTATCAAAAGGTCTCCTAACTAGAAGAACATGGGCGTTTGCCATCTGTATTATCTATGAAGGACCAAGGGAAGAAGGTTTCTGGATAGCAGCACACACAGATACAGCCCTCCCAGGGAGCACGGCCACTCAGAGAACCAAACGCACTTCGGAAGAAGTTGGCAGCTGCAAGAAGCAAGGCCGGTGCAGGGAGATCAGCCGAGGACCGGCACAGCAGGGCGCGGTCCCGAGGGACGGGGGCACTCCTGGGAAGGCGGTACCGTCAGTTCTGCCGCAGAACTCCCCCCGCAGCAGGAGCTCAGCGCCCGCGGCAACCCGGAGCGCAAAGCCCCTCCCTACGGCCGCGGCCCCCGCAGCACCGGCGCGCGGCGGCTCCGACGCGGCCCCGGAGCCGCACCCATCGGGCCCGGCCCGCCCCCGCCCGGCGCCCACCTCCTCCTGCCGTCGGCGAAGCCGCTCGCGCCTCTTGCGGCGCCTCTCCAGCTCCCGGACGATGTCCTCGCTCTCGCTCAGCACCTGACATTCCTCGGGGCTCCGTTCCGCCGGCGGCTTCCTCCAGATGCGAGAAACCTGCCCGGCACACGCAGCGCGTCACGGCAGTCCGGCCGCGCGGGCGGACCGAGGGGCGCCGCGCCGTGCCGTGCCGTACCTGTCTCCGCCGGTCTCGCTGCTCCTCCTGCTGAAGGATCTCGGCGCGCGCCGCCGCCTTCCGCTCCGAGCGGCTGAGGCTGCCGCCGGCCGCCATCGCGCCGGAAGCGCCCCACTTCCGCTGTCGGACGCCGGACGCGAGAAGCCGCTTCCTCTCGGAGAGAGCGGCCGAGCGCCGCTTCCGGCCCCTCCCGCCCCGCGGTGCGCAGCAGCGCCCCCTCGCGCGGCGGCGAACCACGCCGCAAAGGAAGCACCGGGCCGTGGTGTTTGAAAGCTGTTTATTGTCATGTACAAAACAACGGCGGCCGCGCCGGCAGACGAACACTATGTACAGCAATAAATAACGCCCGCCGTCGCCGCGCGGGGCAATAACTTAGCAATAAATACCGCCTCCCGCCCGCCAACCGCGGCCTCGCTGCACCCCACCCCCGGACAGCGGACAGACCCGGGGCCGGGACGGGCCAACGGCACGGCGGGTCCCGCCGGAGCCCCGCGGTCCCTCCGGGCGGTGCTCCTCTGAGGGCGGCGCTCCGCCGGGCCCGGGAAGGGCAGCGCGGCGGCTCCGACCTCGGCCCTCGCGCCCTCCCCGCCCCGCTCCCTCGGGACGGCGCTGCCCACCGGCGCAGCACGACGCAGGAGTCACTCGACACGATTCACCACACGATACACAAAGCCCCGCCCGGCCGGGCCGCTGCAGGGGACACGCTTCATGGTTCCTTAGAGGGCGGCTGGGGCCGGGCCCCACCTCCCAACCACTGCATCAAAAATGTACCGGGAAAGGAGAAAGAAAACACAACACCCTTCACAGCAGGAAACCGAACGGACGAGCACCTCAGGAACAAGAACTGCCACACTCCAGAACGCTATATACGAGAGAGAGAGAGATCAGAGCGACGGGCTCGGGGCAGGGCCGCCTCACGCAGGCATCGGGTGCCGGGTGGTGAGGACTGCGCGCCCTGAACGTGACGGGAGATTCTTCAGACACCGCAGAAATACATTACTCGGATTCCAATACTTCACTGAGAACAAAACCAAAAACACCACGCCAGTACGGGGAAGCAGCACCCGCAAAGAGGAGCACATCCCCTCCTGCACCTCTAGGATGGAGCCAGACAGAGCGCTTTGCGAGCAGGGAACCACCTCACCCGCAGAGCTGGTTCACCACACGGGCGCCCTATGGCAGCAGCTTTGTGCCCACGCGTCCCTAAAGAGATGTGTCCTCACCGAATGCATTCAGCCACTCAAAGCAAACTGGGACCACAAGCTAGCAAGCACAGCGCAGAGGAGGAGAAATGACAGCATTCATGGCTGGTGGAGTCAGCGCTGATGCCTGTTCTGTCCTCCTCACTTGCTCCAGGGAAGCACAGACTCTCATTGGCAGCAGCGATTGCCGTCCAGCAGGCAGAGAAGGATCGGGTGCAGGATACAATGGAAATGAGTTTGCCAGGGCTGTGGGACTGCCTGTCATTGCCTGCTCTGTTGATGGAGCCCTCCTCACAACAATCTCCAGCAAACGGAGACAGTTTGCACACAAAACCTTGTCTGCTCGCTCTGCAGAGGTCTGGCCTCCAGCTGGGAGGCTCTCCTGCCAGGTCAGATCTCATGGCTCCAGGAGGGACAGGGTTGGGTTTTACAGCCTGAGCCAGCCAGAGGACTCTGTTGTGTCTCATCTCCTCCTCACACCACCCAGCAGCTGGAAGACAAAGGCTTGAGCCTAGAAGTCTGTGTGAAGTGTTGCACAGCAAGTAGCCCATCTGGTGCATAGCAAGGAAACAGCACAACACCTCAGTTCGGAGAGGAGAAAACCCATGAGCTGGATGGGGGAAGCCTGGAGGCGATGTTCTAACCTACTCTTTATCCACAAAGTTCACAGGGAAAAGCATTCCAAACAGCTTCTCCCTAAGTCGGCAATTAGTCAGTGCAAAGCTGATCTCCTCTTTCAACAAGAAATCCCATCAGCTCCTCTCCTGCTGTGCAGTAGCTCTCATTAGGTGTACCTGCTTTTCAGCCCAGAGAACAGCATCAGTTCAGCTACATAAGAAACTCATCACCAAAACACACCTAGTATAGCAAACCACACTTTGCTTGTGCCATCCTTATCTGTCTCCTGTGCTCAGGTGATTTTCGACACCCAAAAGATCAAATGGACTTCACCCCCATGCCCTGATTCTCCAAAACAACTCAGTAATCAGATCGAGTCTCTCAGGAGGTGAGGGCAGGGAGGTCTGTCCTAGTGTGAAAATGGAGCCTGACCACAAACTGTTTTTCAGCTGTGTCACATAGCTGTAAGTTTAGGTACCTTTACCAATACCTACAGCCATAAGTTGCACCAGGAAAAAAAAAGTAACCAAGACACCTCTCACTTTTCAGTAATATGCTGATGCTCAGCACAAGAGGCTGCAGCTTCAGGACAAGTGCAGGCCCTGCACCGCCCAAAACGCTGTCAGCCCTGCCTCTCATCAGAGGAGCCACGAGCACAGCGCGAACTCTGACCACAGGATCCACATCCAGCTCCATCTTCGTTCCCCTCAGTCTCCTTCAGAACTTATACAGCTCTCCCCTGTGTTACTTCTCAGCCAGAGGAGAGCAGTCCCAATGGGAACGCATCCCCCATGCAGGTAACTCCGGGGTCAGCACTGGCTGGGCAGCGAGAGGCTGAGCTGCTTGCGCAGAAGCCACAGCTGCAACACCCAGAGAGAGAAGCAGGCGTCCCACCAAGCCCCTCTGCAGAGCAGCGTTTTCAGGGCACGCATCACTCCTCAGCGGCATCAGCCGTTCATTTCCACCTCTCAGAAAAACAGCATCTTTGCCTGTGTGCCAGAATCCTCCTGGAGAATTCGGAGAGATTGCAAGCGAACCTCTCGCTCGAGCTCAGGGAAAACAACAGAAGCATGAGAACGACAGCACATGGCAAAGGCAGCCACTGACAGCACCACAGCACAGCGCCTCGGAGAGCACAGAGAGCGCAACACCAGGGGACACAACGGAGCCAGCAAGATCGAGAATAAGTCACTTTTGGTACAATTGCAAAAAGATATCAAACAGGATTTGCCTCTTTTTTTTTTTTTTTTTTTGTCTTTTTTTTTTTTTTTTTTTTTCTTTTTCTAAGTTTTATAAATAAAGTCTGATAACTCTTTATAAAAACTAACCTCGGAGCCACAAACAGTTTGCGGGAGGTTCATGAGAAACTTTAAAATTATTTATTTATTAACTTCTAACTAGCAAAGTCTCCGAGAATATTTCCCCATTTCTATGGCCAAATATTCTCGCCCTCTCGGATAAAAAAAGCTGACTATAAATACGCTCTCTCTTCTGTCTGATTTTCATTTTAAACTTAGATAATTTAATAACTCTTAAAACGATGTTTCTCTTTAAATAAAAGGGCTATTTAACCACATAAACTGGTCGTGTAAACCATCACACTAGAGACACTTGATACCCTCAAAACACGGGAACAACTAGTGATTTTGGTCTTGTTCAGTGCAACACATTAGGCACAAAACCGGCCTGCAGTCAGCAACGTACCTCCCTCCCCCCCCTCCCAGACCCCATCCCATCCCCCTCCCCTCAGCTGGGGCAGAGGCAGTGGGGCACACCAGCATCTTCCCATCCACCGCCGCTATCCGCACTCTACTGCAATGGAAGCCTGAAGGAAACTCACTGCTTGGGCACAGAGGCGCACCTAGAAATGAATACCACATCTATTACACAGAACACCCCAGCTGCAACTACAGGTACCGGATGAGACAAAAGCAGCAGGCTCAGGTGCCGGGCAGTCAGGCACCTGGATACACCACCTGGAAGAGTAATGAAATAAAGCCTTTGGAAGTGACTGAAAACTGGGGTTCCAGGAAGAAAGCCTCCCTCCGGGCCTCTCGCCGCGCAGCGCAGACTTCCTTTGGCCAGAACACCGAGATCTTACAGCCTGTCCCAAGGGCAGCTGAGGGCTACAGACCGCTGGGTGGGAGGTGCTGTCTGCACAGGACAAGGGATGCATCACCACTGCTCATACCAATCTGAACACAACAAAACAAAACCAGAGCGATCAGCAGGCCAGTCCTGGGCCAAGTAGAAGGAACCCTGACCCGTGTGGGGAGGGTTTGTGCTTTGGGGATTCCAGGCTGGTTTTGTGCCTAATTGCCCTGCACAGACAAGCTCAGGCAACACTCGCTTCACTAAGACCGGGCGTCCGTTTTGGATTTCACTATTGTGATGACACTAGTGGTAGCGACCTTGCCAGGGACGAGGGGCCCCATGCTGGAGGTGAGAGGGCCCCGCACGGGGGTGACAGGGCTCCGGGCCACGGTTCTGGCGAAGTTCTGGAGTGCCTCATATTTGGAGCGGAGAGCATCGAGTTCCATTTTCATGCTGGCATTCTCAGAGGCCAGCTTCTCCACCTCCTGCTGCAGCTCTGCCTTCTGCTTCTCCAGTTCCTCCTTCTGGGTAACGCGCTTGACCCTGCAGCTGGCCGCGTAGCCTCGGTTCTTCAGCGTGCGCCGGCGCTGCTTCAGCTGGATGATCTCCTCCTTGGACAGGCCCCGCAGATGCTGGTTCAGCTCCCGCACAGACATGGTCACCAGCTCCTCATCTGTCAGGCTGGTCCCATTCTCGCCTGGCTCCCGCTTCACCTGTGAGGAGAGAAGGCGGTGTGCAGTCTGAAGCCTCGAGCAGCCGCCCGCACCCCCCGTCCTCCACCTGCTGCTTTACCTTCAAGGCCTTGTTTCCTTTGTTGGGGGTCGTCATAACACGGCAGCCACGTCAGTCAGGCTCTGGAAGGGATGGAGGTCAGGTTAGTTCCTGGGTTAGCTTTCAGCAGACCCAGAGCTGCTGCACGGAGCCCCGCAGCACCCCGTGCTGGGACACCCCCACTGCCCTCCCCAGGCAGCGCTCAGCCTGACTGCATCGGACTCAAAGCGTGGCAACAGATTCCGCCCCTAAGCAGGAACTGCTGCCCTTCCACAGCCCTACAACCACGGAGACTTGTAGCAATGCTGTTTTTTGTTTGGGGCGGGGGGGGGGGAATTAAAAAACTAGGAGGAGCCAGAATACACGGAAGCCACATTTTTAAAAATAGCCTGGCAGCAGCGGCCAGGTCCGGAGCACGCCTGCTCAGGGCCAGTCACGCTGACTCAGCACGCCGGCAGCCCGCGCCTCTGCTCCCAGCTGCATCCTCACAGCCCATGAGCACAGCACAGCCCCAACACCCGCTGCCCAGCACAGCCAGAGCTGCCCAGAGCGAGTCCTGCCAGACCCATGATGCTCCCAAGGACACAGCCTGGCACGGTCCAGGAGCACATCACCGGCAGTGAGTGGAAGGGACAGCTTCACCTGCACGGGGCACTTGTGAGGTGCTGAACACAGCTGCCACACTCATTCCTCTCCAAACTGTGGGTGCTTCCCAGCAAAGCCAGAACAGCTGGGTTACAGTCTGAGTTCTGCATCCAACTCTTTCTGTGGGGAGGACGGGCAGCCCAAACCCACGGCTCAGTGCTGGGGCTCACAGGAATCCCATTACTGATCTAACAAAAACCTCAAGAGCCCTCCCTGCTCCTGTCACCCAAAGCCGACCTGCAGCCATACACATTTCCCATTGAGGCAGTCCCTATCAGCCCCAGCAAAGCCAGGACAGCACCACCTTCTCCCTTCCTTATCTTCAAAGCTGAGAGATAAGAAAACAAAGATCAAGGGAGGCTGAAACTGGAGGGGAGCAGACTCCTCCGCTGCCAGGGAGGACAGCATTCCAGATCGATAACAGCAGCTCCTGGCGCTGTCTCCATACAGAGGCATAGCAGGGCTCCTGTCCCTATGCACCTCCTCCCCTCACACCTCAGGTCAGAATGTCACTGCACCCCAACAAACCGAATCCTCAACAGCCACGTCCATCCCACACAGCCCGGCACTGCCTTCGTGCAGGTGCAGTCTGCAAGCACCTTTGTACCTTCTGTGCCAGCCAACAGCAATTCTGTTTGCTGCTCTTTTGTTTGCTAGACGTAAGAGGCAGAGTTGCAGCCAAGACCCAGCTGTACAGTCAGCAAATACGGATTTTTGCTCCTCCAGCAGCTGCAGCTCAGGCTCCTGCAATGCGCCCGGTGCTGACTGCTAGAGGTGAGCAGGATCAGCGCTGTGCAGGACACGGAGCAGAGGAGCACAATTCAGATGTTCCCAAGGCCGGAGCCTGCCAGGAGGTGGCTATTTATACCCAGAGGACAATGTTCCTTGCAGCACGATGTCCGTGACAACCTGACAGCGCCATAAGGGTCACTTTGCCACCAAGGGAGGTGGCTGCAGTGGGGGGAGCACACGCAGACTGCTGCCTCCTGAAATCAGTTCTGCGCTTTCTCATGCCGTTCTTTTTCTTTCTTGTTTCCTGTACCCCCCCCCTCACACCCCATCAAACAAAATGGCCGCTGGAAAAAGGGGCAGAAGGAAGAGAATAACTGGGGAGAGGCGTAACACTGGCCCTGCAGAATCCTCTGACTGCACACTGGGGTCGGTATGGCTGCAGAAATTTGTGCCCCATAGGGTTAGATGGTTCCCTACCACTAGGAAATACTACAACTTCCTTCATTGCAGCAGATGTAAAGAAATAAAGACTGCATCAGGCTGGGCACGGGGGGCAGAGCAGGGCAGGGAGCTCATACAGCCCTGACCTCAGAGTCCATGCTCACTCTGTACCTCACACTGTATTTTCTGCTAAGAAAAATACATAAACCCACATACAGACACAAAAGGACGTAGAAATGTGAGGGACCTGGTGGAGGGACGCGGCTGGGATGAGTGCAGGGACCCAGAGAGCTGCGATGGGGTCAGGAGAGCGCTCCCCAAGCCTGAATCACAACATCACTTCTGTTGGACATGAGGGCTGCAGCGTCTGTACCCGAGGAACCGGGCAGTGTGTGCTGTGTTCTGGGAGCGGCTCTGAGAAGGGGCTGTGCCTGAAAGCAGCACCAGTTTGGACTCCCCCCCCCCCCCCCCGTTCCCTACCAGAGACCCAGCACAGCAACACTGGCAACACGAGGGTGATGGGAAGGCAGCAGACCCGGAGGACACTGAGCCCAGACACAGCCCGGCTCTGCAGACCGCTGATTTCTCTGCTTTTCAGAGGTTCTCGAAGAAAGATCGCACTGAAAAGTGCCAAACGCGATGACTGCAGCGAAGAAAATGCCGCCTCAACACATTTCCCCGGCGTTCAAAAGCACTGAGCTCAGCACGGCCGCAGCCAATTCCCCCCCAACACGGAGCGCACCGCACAGGGCCCTTCCTTTCCCGGTTCCCCGTTCGCTGCCCGTTCCCCAGCGCGGCGCCGCGCCACGCGCGCACTGTAAACACGGTGACGTCGCCGGGGCGCGGGGCAGGGCCGGGCGCGGAGCTCTCCTCCCCCCCCCCCCCCGGTGCGGGATCCCCGTTCCGTTTATTCGTGGTTTTTTCCTGCGCGTGCACAAATGGCCTCACGCAGCCCTTCCGGAACTCAAACGGCCCGCACTTTCCCTCGTTGACCGGCATCAGAGCAACGCCACCGCCCCCCCAGGGGACCCCCGTGACCCCGCAGCCGCCACCGCCGCGGTGACGGGAGGGCTCAGCGCGGGAGGAGCGGAACGGCCCGAGCCCCGCGGCGGGGAACCCTCGGGAAGCGCCGCGCCGAGGCCTCGGCCTTCACAGCCCCAACGCCCGCCGGGACACCGGGGGGAGCGCGGGGCGGGGCGGGCGGAGCGGCGGGGCCCCGCGCACCTGTTGCTCGGCCGCGGCGCGGGGACCGGGCCGGGAGCGACGCGAAACGAGCGGAAGCCGCGGCCCCGGAGCCCCCGCCGTGAGTCAGCGGCGGCCGCCCCGCCCCGCCCCCGGGGACCGGCCCGCCGCGCCCGCCGCCCCGCCCCGCCCGGTGCCAGGGCCGCGCCCGCCGCCCGCGCCGCGCCTCCTCCCTCCGGCGCCGCCGCCGCCGCCGCGCGCCCCTCACCGCCCGCGCTCGCTGCGGTCACCTCCTGACGGAGCCGGCAGGGCCGGAGCCGGGCGGGACGGGGAGGCCGCGCTGCAGGGACCGGGACGCCGCGAGCCGCCGCCGCTCACGGACGCGTCACGTGATGTTTGGGTCACGTGGCTCCATTCATGAAGCGCCCGGCGCAACCGCCCCGCGCCTTAAGGGGGACGCGCGCTTCTGTCGGAGGCGGCGGGGCGAGGAGGGCGGGGCGGGGACTTAAAGGGGCGGCGGGGCCGGAGCGGGGCCGGGCCGCGGTGTGACCCGAGCCGGGCGGGGAGGGAGCGCGGTAACCGGGCAGCGGGAGGCCGGGCCGCATAGCGGAGAAAGCGCGGTCCGAAGGAGGAAGCGCTCGGCAGCGGCCGCAGCACCGCGAGGTCTCGACACCCGCCGTACGGCCGGCGGACAGCGCTGGGCGCTCCGCTGCTTTCGGCCTTTGTTCCGCACCGCTTCGGCCCCGGCGCTTCTCTTTTATCGGCCAACGCCCGGCACGGCTCCGCGGTGCGGCATCCGACCGCCCCAAGACCGAGGGGACGGCGGAGCTGAGCCGGGTGAGAGCTCAGTGCCGGGCTGCGGGGACACAGCGGGCGCGGAGCCGCACCCACCCAAAATACAGCCGCGAATCTGTCAGAGCAACGGTTTATTCAAGGAGCAGGAAGAGCAGCAGCCATGTCACACCTACAGGGCCTTGCCCTGCTGTTGCCTAACATAAAACCGCACAGGCATTGCTAGCACCTTTGGCAGTCTGCATTGATTTCCAAATGCTTTTCTTGCACCACACACACAGATGCCCCGGGTTCCCAAGGATGCAGTGAGCCCCTCTTAAGTGCCTTCTTTCTACCAGTGCTCCCACTGCGTACCTCGAGGCAGAACAGCGTGACACAGAGATCCACCCAAATCCCTTCCATCCCCCATAGCTCCTGCTGCAGCCCAGTAGCAGTTATTAGGGCAGTGTGAATGCTAGGTGCTGCTTCTTGGTTTGGGACTCTGGAAGAAGAGGGAACGCTGTAAAGCCACAGAAAGCTGCTGTTCAGGGGGTGAATGCCAAGGCTGCATCTGAATGAAACAGAACGTGGCTAAGGGATTCACATTAACCCTCTTCTATCCTCAAAGTGGATGGGAAATGAGGCAGAGGCACTTTGGTCCCTGGTGAGAAGCATATTAGGACCCAGCCTCAGTGCACAGCACTGCATTTGTGTGATAGCACCTGCTCTAGCTAAGAAAAACAACAAGAGATGAGTTCTGAAAGCAGATGCAAGATGAGGAAAGAGGGATCCAGACCTGACTCAAACCTTTGAGCCTAAAAAGCATTTGGAAAGTTCTTAAAAATCCTGCCATAAACTGTTTCTACATGGGACACAATAAATGATACCTCACTTCTGGAAGTGTCCAAGGCTTCCAGCAAATGGTGCCCATGACAAAGCTCTGAGTATGGTGTTACCCAGGCCACAGTGAGCAGCTCTGTGCTGCCCCACAGCTGCTGCAAGCGAAGAGTCAGGTATGGAGAACATCAACATTCAGTGTGAATGTTTTCCTTGGTCAAAAAAGAAAGGGCATGGAGGAAACTGATGGTCAGCACAGCCAGAGTACAGCAGTACAGCAATCTGCTCAGTCCTTCTTGCTGCTGGGGTTCTTACTGTTGAACAGACTGACTTTGCTGGCAGATGCCACAGACAGAGAAGGAGACTCCAGCTTCACCTTATCCAACAAAGTCTTCTTTATGGCTGCTGGGGAGATCTTCTCCTTGTCGGCCAAATGCTGCAGCTGCCTGCCATAGGGTGGTAGAAGAGAGAGATGGTAAGAAGTAGAAAGAGGAAGAGACAAGTGGCTCTTTAGGATTTTCTCAGTGCCCACCTTGTCCGGATACAGGAAGCCTCCACAGCATTGATGAGCAGTGAGCGAAAGCCTCCGCTCTCCAGGAAGTGCAGGGCATGAATGCTGGCTCCCCCAGGGGAGCAGACGTTGTCTTTCAGCTGACCTGGGTGCTGCTCTGATTCCAACAGCATTTTGGCAGCCCCCTGTGGTGAGGAATAGAAAATGACTATCAAAACTCTGACTGAGGAAACCCTCTGCCAGATACTCCTGTTCTTCATTGCTTAGAGCAGCACCTAACGGGTCACAAAGGGCAAAACTGGTCTCCTGCCCAAGGGCCAATAACAGGCTGCCAAAACACTTTGGAGAGCTGGAAAATCCTGTACAGGAGACATGGCTCCCCAGGCCCACCACACCACCAGCACCAGCAGATTGCTGCAGGCACTTCCTATGTCTCCTCACCAGGAACCCGTGTGCATTCAAACCAAAAGTACATTTAAATACATTCAGTAAAGGGACTGAAATCATTTAAAACTATGATGTGCAGACGCTCTGCACAGAGCAGGCAGAGGCTTAAGAGCATTTTGGAGGAAGCAATACTGACCAGCAAAGCCTGAGCTCCCAGCCGAACAGCCAGCCTGCGGGGAAGCCCCATTTTCACACCTCCATCAGCCAGAGCATCCAGGGCAGTGAATGCCTGAGATCAGACAGAGGAAAAAAAGTGACTGGAAGTCTCTATTCTGAGACCAGTGTTCTTACAGAAGGCAGAATCCACAGCTCTAGGATCACATTGTGACTTACAAAGACTTGACAAAAGTCAGCCCCTTTACTGCATTGATGCCATGCCATGCTTCTCTCCCACCAGCTCCAGCTGAGTTGTAGGGAGAATGGAAGAAATTCAGCTTCTAGGTCATCCTAACAACAGGCTCAGATTTTGCAACACAGACGTGGACACTGCACACTGGCTATGGACTTCAGCCTCATCCAACTGGTAATAGACTTTTGTTGTTGACCCACACTGGTTATAAACTGGATACCTGGATTACATGTCCCATCACGAACGGCAGTGATGAGAAAAACAAGAAAACACACACTGAATGTGCACAGACTTTCGGTGCATGCAAAGCCCACCAGTGTCCCCAGCATTTCCATGAACTGAGAAAGCAGCACATACATACGCAGGGCCACTGCCACTGAGCCCTGTTACAGCATCTATCAGGTCCTCTTCCACCTCCGTGCAGAAGCCTACGCTGGCCATAAGTTGTTCCAAGAGCTTCCCATCCTCCACATCTGCATGAGTCCCAGTAGCATAGACTGTGGCACCTTCTCGGACAATCACAGGGGTGTTGGTCATGCACCTGATCACTTTAGGTGCGGGGCAGAAGGCAGAGAGTTTCTTAGGGCAGAAAATTATTGAAGATAGAGAGAAAGAAGGAAAAAAATAAATAAAAGAGAGCTTTAGTGCATATCTGGCATTTCAAACAGGAAGGGGCTCCCAAGGGGCACAAACAGAGGAGCAGAGAGATTCCTGTGTACCAAATTCCCCACTTTAAGTCAAAGTGGGCAAAACTTAAACATGAAATCCTTAGTCACAGCACCAAACAGAACACTGTGGGGAACAACATCCTCCACAGCTGCCCCATTGGCACCAAAACAGCTGCAGACACTGAGCACAAAGTCTGCAGAAATTCACAGGAGAAGACCCACCTCTTCTCACACAGAGAGAAAAAGCGATCTGATAGCATTTCATGTAATAAAAAAGCCTCCATGAGGAGCACTGCAGCTTATTCTGACGAGGCAAAGGTGGCCCAAAGCAGCCAGCTGGGCACAGCACAGTGCTGTGCTGGGGACCGCAGGCAATGCTGGGGTCAGGCTTGAATCCACTTCCAGCGCTCTGCTGTCCTGATGGCCCTGCCCGGCTCAGCACCGCCCGGCCCTCACCTTCTCGATGGAGCTGATGGTGACACCGGCAGCGCAGGAGACCACGATGTGACGCTCCTCGATGTCGGGCCCCACCTCGTCCAGGATGAAGGGGATGATGGGGGGCTTCACGGCCAGAAAGAGGACGTCGCTGCTCTTCACCGTGTCCTTGTTGCTCACAGTGAAGTTCACGCCCATTTTCTGCAGTGGGAAAGAGAAGCGACGGCTGTGGTTCGTGGCTGCCGATCGGGAGCAGCGCCCAGCCGCCAGCACTCACCCGCAGCCCGCTGACGGTAGGCAGCTCGGTGTCCGGGGAGCTCGCCGTGATCTTGTGCGCTGCCAGGATCCCTGCAGACAAAGCGCGACTCAGCCCGGGCACCTCGCCGGGCACCTCGCCACGCCCCCCGGCCCCGCACCCACCTGCCGCCGTGAAGCCCCGGGCCAGGGCGAAGGCGAGCTGCCCGGCCCCGATGAATCCCACGCTCATGATGCGGTGCGGAGCGACCAAAGCCCACCTGCAACCGCGCCGCCGTCCACGTGGCCGCGCTCCGCTCAGAGAGGCGGTGACGCGGCGCATTGG